AGAAAGAAAGAAAGAAAGAAAGAAAGAAAGAAAGAAAGAAAGAAAGAGAAAAAAGAAAGAAAAGAAAAGAAAAAAGAAAGAAAAGAAAAGAAAAAAGAAAGAAAAGAAAGGAAAAGAAATACGTAAGGGTGACCTCGAGCCCAACAGCTTGAGTTCTTTCCTGGGGAACCACATAGTGAGGGAAAAACTTACTCCTACAGTTGTCCTCTGACCTCCACATACATGCTGTGGCACAGACATGAAAGAAAGAGAGAGGGAGGATGGAGGCTGAGGAAACCGTGTTGTGGGCTGTGACACAAATGTGATAAACTCAGTTCAGCATGCAGTAGGGGCCCCCACATCTGTAATCTCTACTGTGAGAAGCAGGGTGGAGCCAGGCCAATGCCTGAAGCTTACCAGCCAGCCAGCTTGGCCTAAGCTGGTCTCCCTTACAAAGAAGGAAGGCCTTGACCAGCTCCCAATGTCCTGCTCAGATCCACACACACAGGCTCTGACAGATGGCGCACCTCAGCCATGGTCACCAAGGCCAGGTCTAGAAGGCCCCGGTAGGTGGGGGTTGGCTCAGTGGGGAGGTTGAGGATTCTGGGCTCCCTCCTTGGCTCCTTAGTAACCGAACAAACAAGTGTCTTGTATCTCTGCTCCTCCTGTGTTTGTATCTGTTCCCAGAGCGTGCACTGGTCTTCACAATCCTTGCACATTCTTGCCCACAGAATACCAAGCCGTAGAATTCCTCTCGGGTTGCCAGAATGAAGGCCAGCTTTTCCCCGCTCTCTCCACACTCTTTCCTTTTCATCCCTCTTGAAGCTGAATCAAGTCCCTCTCACTGGGACACGGCTAGAGACGGAGGCAGGTGCGGGGTCAGGGCAACGTGGCACTAAAGCCGCTTGGTGGCGCTGTGAGGCAGGCAGGAAGAACTGCGGGACGGTTAGCGGACTCTGGCCTCCGGCCCAGCAAGGAGAGAGGGTTACAGCACATGGCTCAGGGCCAACGGAACCGTATCCCGTCATCCCTCGGGTCCACCTTACGGAGCCCAGGAAGCCCCGAGTGACTGTGCACTATCGATATGGGTACCGCCATGTCAAGGACCCAGGGCTCACACCAGTGAAGGAACAGCAAAGCCTTCCCCCTTCCCCGGACCTGGGAAATGGCAAAGCCTGACCGGGGGTGCGGGGCGGGGAGCAGGCGGATTGAATGCGAGCGTTGAGAGTGTGTGCAGAAAGCTTGTGCCGTAGCCTTCTCTGAATTCTATAGCCTGCACACTGCTCCTCAGACGCTGCTCCTCCTGAGACACAATCCCACCGCCCCGGTCAACTCTCCACGACAAACAGGATGAGCTTCTGCGATGTTCAAGGTCATCTGGCTACCGAGAGAGTTCTAGGTTAGCCTAGGCTACAAGACCTGTCTTAAAAAAATAAATAAATAAATAACAAGAAGACAGCTAAGTAGGGAGGCAAGAGGATTACCATGTGTTTCCGGCTAACCTGGGCTACAGAAAAAGACCCCACGTCAACAGGAAAGTTGGGAAGGGAAGAAGGTAAAGAGCTGAGGGGAGCCGATACAGAGGTACTGAGGGCTGATTCAGCGAAGTAACAGGCATACGTGCCTGAAGATTATCAAAATGAAACCCATTTTTTCTGGTAACTGAAAAATAAAACCAAAGCCAAACAGTGGTGGCACACGCCTTTAATCCCAGCACTCTGGAGGCAGAGGCAAGTGGATTTCTGTGAGTTCAAAGCCAGCCTAGTCTACAGAGTGAGCTCCAGGGCTACACAGAGAAACCCTGTCTGGAGAAAACAAAACCAATAAATAATAAAACAGAGCCCCAAAACAACTGTGTGCATTTCTCTCCACAGGTACCCATGAGACACGGCTCTCCCTCAGGCTCAGGGACTCGCTCAGCAGCCTCCTCTCGCTTGCAGGACATAGCCTGTATCTCCATCCTTGCCAGGCTGGTATGCTCAGCCCAGGGGTGGGAGGCACGAGGTCCTTGGGCTCACAGATAAGCACTAGGGAACCAGGAATGTAAAACCCGAGGGTTGCCCCTTCCAAGGGAGAGATGTGTAACCTGTTTTCCACCCAGAAGGCTGGGAGTGGACCTGGTTAGCAGCCTGGTGACCCTTGTGCTATCTGTGTGGCCGAGACCACACTGGACCCTCCTCCAGACGCTTACCATGAGCTTGCTCTCCAAGTGAATCTATGGAACTTCCTTATGGAAGCTGTTGCATGTACTTTTGATGTGGTCACATCCCAAACTTTATTGTGCACACATGAGGGAATTATTTATCAGCAGGAAAAATCCCACCCACTTTGGCTGTGTTTAAATATGCTTAAAATTGCCGGGTGTGTTGGCTCGCACCTTTAATCCCAGCACTTGGGAGGCAGAGGCAAACAGATCTCTGTGAGTTTGAGGCCAGCCTGGTCTACAAAGTGAGTCCTGGGCAGCCATGGCTACACAGAGAAACCCTGTCTGGAAGAAAACTGGGACTCACAGTCTCACACCAGCGTGGTAAGCACTCCACCACTGAGCCACGCCCCTAGCCCCTTACTGAGGAATTCTAGGCACGGAATTGGCCGTCTTCCTGCCTCAGCCTCCCTAATGATGGTGCCTAGCTCAGTGTGGGAAATCCTTCAGCCATTTGTTTCAATGTGAAATTCAGATATTTAATTTAGCTGTGTTTCACCAAATCACTCTTCACTCGTAGGCACATCAGAGAAACCAAACGAGACCTGCATCCTGATTCCTCCTGCCTCACCCCTGGATCTGAGTGTCTGGGGTTCAGAAGCCGAGCAATCTGCAGCCTTTGAGTGGTTCACTGCCCCAAAGGGAGCCTTTGATGGTGGAAGAGAAGCATGTACAAGTCGACAGGCTGACCCCTGTCTCAAATTGTGGTCTTAAATTTGCCAGTCTGCGGGGTAATCCTGGTACCCGCAAGTGTGGAAGCCAAAGCTAGCTAGTGCAGGTCAGGAAAACAATTTACCTGCTGTGAGTGACCTCTGGTGGTGACATGGAGCAATGACACCCTGGGTGTCCTCCATTATTCCTTAAGCTAACTTAAATCACATCTGCTTCAATTCATTGGCTCATGCCAAGCCGGCCACAGCCCTAACGTTAGGGCCGCGTTAGAAAAAGAAAACGAGTCTGGTGTCGAGAATGGCTGCCAGCTCAGCCCTTGAGAGGCAGAGGCAACCTCTGTGGGTTTCATGCCAGCTTGAGCTGCATAGTGAGTTCCAGGCACGTAAGGGCCACAGAATGAGACTCTATTTTAGGTGAAGGTGCAGGGGCCGGGAAAACGGGATGGGGGTGGGGGGGACACAGCGGGGACGTGGGGACTGGGACGGGGACAAAATTAAAAGGCTCACCGGGTAAAGGCATTTGCCACCAAGACCCATGACCCAAGTTCATCCCTGGGACTCAGGGGGTGAAAGGAGGGAACTGACTCCCCAAATTTGTGCTCTGACCTCCACAAGCATACCTCCCAACGCAACATAAATTTGCAGCAGGGCGTGGTGGCACACACCTTTGATCCCAGCGCTTGAGAGGCAGGAGTAGGCAGATCTCTGTGAGTCTAACAGTGAGTTCCAGGGCAGCCAAGACCCTGCCTTAAAAATAAATAAACAAATAACTGAAAACTGTGAGAAGTACTTATACTTACACTTGCTTTTAAAATAATTAAAATTAAAGTGAAAAAGTTCCTCAAGGGCTGGGGGTGAGCCTCGGTCGGCAGAGAGCCAACCACCGTGCTAGAATGTTACACCAAGTGTGGAGACCCAGGTCTGTGAGCCCACTGCTCAGGAGTAGGAGATGGGGTGGCTGGAATTCCCAACACCCACACTGGGTGGCTCACAACAGCCTGTAACTTCAGCTCCAGGAGACATGGCACCCCTTCTGACCTCGTGGGTACTGCATGCGGGCGTGCACACAAACTCACAAAAGCACACACACATACACTTAAACAATAGTTTTAGATGGTTAACGTAAGTGGCACATGCCTTTAATGAGCACTCGGGAGGCAGAGGCAGGTAGATCTCTAAGTTCTAACTTCTAGGCCAGCCTGGTCTACAGAGATCCAGGACAGCCAGACTATGCAGTTTAGAAACAATGTTTTGGAAAGAAAGAAAGAGGGATGGAGGGAAGGAAGAAGGAAGGAAGGAAGGAAGGAAGGAAGGAAGGAAGGAAGGAAGGAAGGAAGGAAAATGAAAATAAACATTTTTTTAACTCAAAAAGGTGACATTAGTTCTATGGATTATTCAAATACATCATGTTCAGAACATTGCTATTGCAATCATTAGAGTTATACAACAACCAAGAGAGAGGTTGTCATAGCTACTTTCCTTGAGTGACCATGGGGTCAGTATGTCACTACCCTGTCATGAAAACTTGTGATCCATATTGGCATCTCCTAACATTCTCACTTGAAGTAGATTCATAGACTCCAATTGTCCCAAACACACCGAGTTTCACAACATAACACAGAATCTAAGTCCAGTTTTTAAACAATTATTTATTAAAATTATGGGTATGTGGGTGTAGGTGTGCATGCGGGTGTAGTGCCCAGAAAGACCAGAAGAGGGCATTAGATTCCCTGCAATCTGGAGCCACTGTGTGCTGCTGGGAACCAAACTCAGATCCCTCTGCAAAATCAGCTGGTGCTTTTTTTTTTTTTTGGGGGGGGGGGCGGGATTCACTGTGTAGCCCTAGCTGTCCTGGACTCACTTTGTAGACCAGGCTGGCTTCGAACTCACAGAGATCCGCTAGCCTCTGCCTCCTGAGTGCTAGGATTAAAGCTGTGCGCCACCACGCCTGGCCATTATTATTGCTGTTGTTGTTGTTATTTCTCATATATTACATCCTGACTGCAGTCCCCCTCCCTCCTCTCCTCCCAGACCCTCTCTTCACCTACCCTGCCTCCCAGATCCACCCCTTCTCTGTTTCCCTTCAGAAAAGGGTCGGCAGACAGAAGAATCATGGACCCAGCTGGTGCTCTCAACCACTGAGCCACGTCTTCAGCCCTAATGTTCACTGGTAAGCATTTTTTAAAGATTGCATGTTTATTGAGGAAGGGACATGTGACGTGGTGAATATGTGGTCAGAGAGAAATGTCAGAGTCAGTTCTGTCCTTTCATGGTGTGTGGGTCCTGGGACTTAAGTGTTGTAAATCAGGTGCTCGCCAGCCTACCTTTCAGCAATGCAGAGCCAGCATCTTATGTCTGTTGTGTGGTGTGATCTCTTAGCAACACATGTTGGCCAGGACCTGCCAAGGTACCTTTCTCTACTTGTCCTAAGATTGAGGACCTGCTGATATAGGAATATCAAATAGGAATAATAGAAGAAAAGGGTAGATTATTGAATCTGCTCTTCAGCTATAGAACTATTGTTATTCTCAAATATGTTTGATACATTTGTATAGATTATTTTATGTTGACACAAAATTATGGCTACTTTTAAAACATTGGTACAGAAATTTTATACATTGACACAGAATTAAGGTTATTTTTGATACATTGGTGTAGAATTTTATATGGTTGACACAAATTCTAAGTTATTTTTTATACACATATGTATATGTTGTAACTCTTATATAAGGTATTGGGCCTTTCTGCTTATTTATAGATGCAAGGTTTGTTAGTACTTAGGCACCTGCTTCTGAGTTGCCTGGCAACCTGTGATGTCATCATGGCCAGCCAAGTGGCCACACGTGGAAGGCGTGGTTACCTTGCCCTTTAAAGGGAGCAAAGCAACATCTGGTTTCTCTCTTGCTCTTCTTCCTCCCTCTTGCCCTCTCTTGCCTTCTCGCCCTCTCCCCTTTGTCAGGGTGCCCCCTCTCTCTTTCCCTCCATCATGTCCTGCTCTCTTTTCTCTCTCTTTCTTCATCTCCATCAAATACACCTCTTTCATATAAAATCTGTTGTGCTCCTGATTGTCATTATTTAATAGGCCCCATCAAGGTTTACTTCCAGTCCTTTAAAAAGCTGCTGTTACAACTGTTAGGATAATTTTAAAAATTCAGATTCATAGTTAGTAGTTTTGTCAGATACTAGTCTAGTGTATCACAAATACATATCCTAGGTTAAACAGATAATGAAATAGCTAGAAATAAGCAACATTTGCTTGTTCTGGTTGACAACAGACAGATAGATAATGATTAAACACTATGTAGATGTATATAGCTAGACAGATGTCTTCAAAAACCCCAGGACCTACAGAATATGGCATTTAAAGAATTTTTTTTATTTTAAGTCTTTTCTGGCAATAAGACATGGACAGCACCCCTTTAGACTTGAAAGACAGTGATGAGCATTGAAGATTCTCCATTAGGAGATGGCTTCAAATGCAACAAGCTAGCCCTGGACCAAAAAAAAAAAAAGTCTCGCTTCACTGCAAACAGAATGCTGTCCAAAATGGGCAAAACTTGAACGGAGGTGGGGAAGGAAACTGCCAAGCTCTGCCAAGACAGGGTAGACAAGTCATTCATAGTTCCTGCCTCACAAATATGCCTGCCAGATGTACTGGGGCAGAAGACTGAAGGTTCGTGCAGCAACGTTGCAGAGGTAATATGGGCGCCTGTCCAAACAGCCTCCTGCCTGTCGATTGTTATTATTGGAAGCTGCTTACCAGCACCTCCTACATACTTGGGTAATATTTTCCTTCTCAAGTCTGGTGGGGTTGAAGACTAGATAGTTACAGTCTTGCAATTAAGATTAGTTGTTTAGGGGCCTGAGTTGGATTCCCAGCAACCACATTTATAGTGAGATCTGGTGCCCTCTTCTGGCATGCAGGTGTACATGCAGATAAAGCTGTCATATGTAAAATAAATAAATATTATCTTTAAAAAAGATTAGTTGTTTAGGTCTAAAAAAAGTTTTTATATTGGTAAATTAGAATAGGTAATAGAATACTTTCTCCTAAGTTACCAAATGCGTATGGACTGGACATTGTGAATGTAAAGCTTACCTAATAGTTTTCACAATTGTTTGTATATTGGTTTATTATTTTGTTTGTTGGGTTTTTGAGACAGGGTTTCTCTGTGTAGTCTTGGCTGTCCTGGAACTCACTATGCAGACAAGGCTGGCCTAGAACTCGCAGAGGTCTGTCTCTGTCTCCATAGTGCTGGGATTAGAGGCGAGCACCACCGCACCTGGCCTCAAAACTTAAAAAATATTTTTTTAAGAGAGAAAGAGAAGTGAGGAGGAAGGAAGGCAAGAAAATCTGTTGGACTGGTGAATTAGATGACAGCAGGCTTTGCGGGGTCTAGAACAGCACCCAACCGGTGCTCAATAAATGTGTTAAGTGACTGAATTCCGGAGCCCAGGATACACCTCCACGGAGCCTTCTGGCTCCTCCCGTGTGACGTCACAAAGCCCCCACCATGCCTTTGGCCTTGGCCCTGGTGCTTCTCTGGGGGCTGGGCGGCCCCGGGGGCTGGGGCTGCCTGCAGTGCGACCGGTCGGTGTTAAATGCTCTCGGCCGGCTGCGCTTGACCATCTTCCACAACAACTTCCACGTGGCAGGGCTGCGGGCGCGCGCGCGGGCCGTGCTGTTGGGCATGGAGGGGCCTTTCTTCGGGGACTACGCGAAGAACGCCTTCGTCGGGAAAGTGGGTGTGTGCTTGGGTGCGCTGGGGAGAGGCCGGCGGGCGCGGGGGTGCCCTCTGGCCTGACGCGGCCTCCCTTACGGTCTGCAGGCTTGGATCAACTGGAAAATGTGGCCACGTCCTTCAAAAACCGGACGCAGCACATAGACGTTAAGTCTCTGACAGGTGGGAGACCCCACAGCCAGCCCCTGGCGCCCCTTTCAGCACTCCCACGCTTCTCCCCTGGGGAGCTAACACGGGCGTGTCCTGGCTGTGAGGGTCAGGCGGACGGTTAGGAGGGAAGCTGAGAGTCAGAGAGGACAGGTGAGCAGTCCAAAGCCCCGCGGAGTTGAAGAAGCGAGCAGGACACGCCCATCTGTGCAACGCCCATCACAAGGCGTGCTTGGCCACGCCTCTCTGTTTTCCTGTAACAATAACCTAATAGTAATGTAACTTTCCCCATTGAGTCTACCGGTGCCATCCTAGTAACTCTGGAAGCTGAGGCCATAACGGTGAATCCCATCTCACTGAGTGAGTTCCATGCCAGCCTCCGGGTTCTTGGGAGGCTGATAAGCAGCTGTTTCCACGTGCTGGAGTCACCCGGAGCAGCTGTTATTCAAGCACATACAGGGTGTGCACGTATTTTTAAGTCTCAAGCGCCTGGGAGCCTTCTAGAATTCAGACTCTTTCTGGACACTCAACGGGTCAGTTTTGCAAAGAACCGAAATGAAAACCTCTAAAATCTGGAGCACTTCGTGTGTATGGGTGTTTTTCCTGCATGCCTTATGTGCCACATGCGTGCGGTACCTGTGGGGATCAGAGAGGGCATCAGATCCCCCAGAGCTGGAGTCCCAGTGTCTCTACCACAATTCAAGTGCTGGAAACTGAACCCAGGTCCTTTGCAGGAGCAGCCAGTGCTCTTAACCACTGAGCCACCTCTGCAGCCCCATTTACTCATTCTGTAAGTGGTTCAAGGCTCAAGGGGCCCAGCACCGACGAGCATCTGTTCCCTCCTCAGACAGTTCTCTGCTGGAAGAGCTGGTGAGCCTCAGGGAGCATGGCATCATGGAACTAAAGAAGGCGCTCAAAGCCTATGAAGCAAAAGGTGCTGCTGCTCCCCTCCCCTCTCTCCCTGCCCTCCCCAAAGCTCTCCTCTGCAACTTCCAGCATGCCCATCTTGCCAACATTCCTTCCTGTCCTTCCCCAGATCTGCCCCTTCCCTCCCTCCCTCCTCAATTAAATTGTCAAGCCATGTCCCCATGTCACTCACACCAGCTCTCTTCTCTTTCAGCCTGTGACCACAAAACTTGTGGTGAGTTGTTTTCCTGTCCAACCCCCACCCTTCGCACCTGTCCCTGTTCCTCCCAAACCAAACCTCAGGGCCACAAAACTATGAACTTTGTCATCAAGGGAGGATGGTTTGCTGTGCGTGTGTGTGTGTGTGTGTGTGCGTGTGTGTGTGTGCACATGTATGTACATGCCTGTGAGGTTCGAATGACTGTGCATGCCTATGTGTATGTGCATGCATGCATTCGTGTGTGCGTGCATGTGTGTGTGTGTGTGCGTGCATGCATGTGTGTGTGAATGCACGCCTTTGGAAGCCAGAGGGACAATCTTGGGTCTGATGCCCAGGAACCAAGCAGTATGTTATTGTTAGTTATTTTTTAAATCTGTATGTTAGAGTGCTTACATGCCTGTATGTCTGTGCGCTGCACGTGTGCAGTGTCCGTGGAGGCCAGAGGAGAGCATCAGATCCCCAGGAACTGCAGTTATAGGGTGTGAGCCACCGTGTGGGCACTGGGATCTGAGACTAGGAAGTGCTTTAACTGCCGAGCCATCGCTCCAGCCCCACCTTGGTTCTGAGACAGGGCCTCAGCGTCCAGAAGCTCGCTGATTCGGCTGGCTGGCCGGTGAGCCCGGGATGTCCCTGTCTCCGCCTCTTCACCATGTCCCAACTTTCCCGTTCTAAAGGCTGATCTTGGGTCTCCCTGCTCACAGGCAAGCGCCATAGCCACGGGGCTGTCTCTGCCTCCTCGCCCCCGTTGCCTCTTTTTCTGACACATGGCCTCACTCTGTAACTCCTGCTGACCTGGAGCTCATGGCAGTCCCGCCTGCCTCAGCCTTAACTGGTAGCTCACCAGTCACGGTCCAACCCTCAAGACTCGTTTTGAGTCTTTATTGTTTGTTGTTTGTTTGAGACAGGGTTTCTCTGTGTAGCTAGCTGTTCTGAACTCACTCTGTAGGCCAGGCCAACCTCAAACTCACAGAGATCCTCCTGCCTCTGCTTCCCAGGTGCTGGGATTGCAGGCGTGCCCCCCCCCCCCAGGCTTGCTGTTTGATTTGGTTGGTTTCGTACATCTTGTTTTATCAGAATGTGTGTGTGCACGGTACGCATGTGGAGGTCAGAAGATGACTTATGGTAGCTGGCTCTCTCCCCCTTCCCTATGGGCCCCTGGGATTGAGTCAGGTCACCAGTCACTGGCCCCTAAATATTTGCTTTGAGAGCTTGTGAAATGGTTACAACCTGTGTACTTGAGCACCCTAGGGTGTGTGGCATGGACACGTAAACCCCACATCTCAATGGCTCCACATGATAGGTGCTTCTCTTCCGGCTGCCTCCCACTTCCTCTGCCCCCGTGCTGACCATTTGCACTGGCCTCCGAGACTAGGGAATGATACCTGGAAACACACGTTTCCTTTTCGTTTGATTCAATAGAAAACATTCGGGTGCAACTCACTGCAAAGGGCCCCTGGGGAATGTCTTCCTGTGTGCACAGGAAGAGGAGGGGCCAGGTGAATCTGTGCCATGCCTGCCTTTGCCAGAGGAGACTCCAAGACCGGAAAGTAGCAGATCCAAAACTGAATAAGTGTTGAGGCTGACGAGGCGGCTCAGGGGTTAGGGTGCTTGCTACCACGCTTGTCGCCCCGAGCTTAGTCCCAAGGACCCACAGACTGCACAAGAACAGACCCCTGTGAGTTGTCCTCTAACCTCCATTCATGTGTGTAAGTGTGAGTGCACACACACAGGAAATACATAAAATGTTAAATGGCAGAGACAAAAAGAACATTTGGTTAAGCGTCTACAAATGGGAAGAAGTGGCAGCCCAGATCTACCATAGAAGTTACCGAGGGAGGCTGTGGCAAGAAAAATCACAAGTTCAAGGCCAGCATGGGTAACTTACCAAAATTCTGTCTCAGGGTTTAAAAAAATGCAGTGTAGACCACTGGTAAAGCCTCTGTCTAGAAGCCCCAGTAAAGGGCTGGGGTGTGGCTCAGTAGTAGAGCATCTGCCTAGAATCCCCCAGTGAGGGGCTGTGCTGGGGTGTGGCCCAGTTAGATGCCCTGCCTAATACTCAAGACCCTGAGTTCAATCCTTACCACCCCCACTCCCAAATATCCTATGATCAAACATTGTCGACCTCTGGCCTATAGAAATTTCCTCTAATTCTTCGATGGTAGAAAAACCATTTCTCACACCAGCTGCCTGCGTTTGCTCCACCTGCTGTGCTGGGTGGTGGCTCCGCCAACGTTCAGAGGCCGAGCAGACCCTGCCTCCTTCTCCCCTTGTTCCCTCCATGCTCTCACCTGTTCTTGGGGTCTGTTTTCTCCATGTCTCCCTTCCCCCCATCCAGGCTCGCTCAAAGAGGAAGTCCTGGACTGTTTACAATGCAAGAAAATCCCCGCCAAATGCGTCAAAGAAAAGTTTTGCTTTGGTAAGCTGTGGGTTTGGGAAAGGCAGTGGTGACACGTGAGAAAAGCTCATGTTCCTGCGCAGGTGGTTTCAAGGCTCCTTACCATCCTCGTCCCTGTGGAGGTGGGTTCCAAGATTTCCCGTGAGCATTTGAAAGGCTGAGGCAGGAGGAGTTCAAGGCCAGGCTGAGCTACATAGCACCTACCTGTAGCCCCACCACTTGGGCAGGAGATAGTGGGAGGAAAAGAAATAGATTCGTGGAACTCACTGGCCAGCCTGGATGAATTTGCAAGTACACACACACAGTTAAAATATATTTTAAGGACTAACAAGGTGACTCATTGGTGAAGAGCACTGACTCCTCTTCCAGAGGACCCAGGTTTTATTCCCAGCTCCCACATGGCAGCCCACATGTCTGTAATTCCAGATCTAGACGATCTGCTTTGTTCCGGGCAGCTGAAGGCAACCACATGCATGTCACAGACCCACCAAGACACATAATTTTAAATATACATATTTTTAAAAAGATCCTATCTCAGAAAACAAAGTTTATGTTGAGATGTTCTTATATGTGAAAAGCATAGAAAGACCGACTCAGTCAGTCATTCAACAATTGCGCACATACCTGTATCCTTACAGCAGAGAGACTAGTACAAAGCCTCGCCCTCCTGGCCATCGTACCTGCTAGTCCTGCGCTCTGTCGCTGTTCTCCTTCCCTTCAGGTCGCAAAGCTCTGTCTTCAAAGAGGCCTCTCGGTGACACTTCCTAAAATTACTCTCCGTCAAACTCTGCCTACACTCACGATTTCTCAACTGTACTCACGATTCCATTTCAGTTTTTGTCATAGATTTTATTCTGTTTTTAGTGATTTGTTCTTCCTGGAGTTAGAGTTGTGACCCACCACGTGGGTGCTGGGAATCAAACTAGGTCCTCAGGACCAGCAGCCATGTTCCTACATGTACACTGAGCTGTCTCTCTATCCTCTCGACTTTTTTTTTTTTTTTTTTTTTTTGGCTTTGTCTATTTCTGTGAAAAGATACCATGACCATGGGAACTCTTACAAAAGAAAGAATTTAATTGGGCCTTGCCTAAAGTTTCAGGGGTTTAGTTAATTAGCATCATTTAGGCCATTTTCATTTCATCACATTGTACTCCGTAGCCCCATAGGCTTGAAGACATATCATAATGCAAAATACATTTAGTCCAATTTTAAAAGTCCCCTATCACAGCCTCAACACTGTTTAAAAGCTCAAAGTCTCTTCTGAGACTCACTTAATCTCTTAACCATAGCTCCCTGTAAAATCAAAATAAAAAAGCAGATCACACAACATTTTTCAACACACAGTGGCACAGGATTGCTATGCCAAATGGAAGGAAAAGAAGCATAGTGGAAAAAAACTGGGCTAAAGAAAGACCAAACCTAGCTAGGCAAACTCCAAACTCTGCATCATCATGTCTGATGTCACAGTGCTCTTCAGATCTCCAGCTCACTTCATCTTTGTTGACTGCAACACACCTCCTTCAGTTCCGTTCTCTGCTAGCAGCTTTCCTCGGCAGATTTTCTACGGCTCTCCCATCTCCAACATCTTGGGGTCTCCAAAGCAATCTCAGGCTTCACCTTCACAGCTTCACACAATGGCCTCTCTGGAGTCCCATGCTGGGACACCCCTGCCACACACTGGCCTCAGCAGGTTTTCTTAGTCACAGGAGGAGACTCCATAACACCTTTCTTCTATTCGTGACTCTAAAGCCAGAACAACTATGGCTGCACTGCCAAGTTGTGCTGCTTGCCAGGGCTTGCTGGGGCTGGAACCCAGACCCCTCTTTTAAATACATTTTCACCAGATAAAGTTTCCCTCACTGCTTAAGCTTTTCCTTAACTCCGTTTCACAAGTTGGAAGTGTAGTTGGTGAGGTTTTTTCCTCTGAGTCTCCACTCCCTGTATATAGCATCAGCCTTTTTAAGCTTTTTATTTCTTTGAGCACTGTGCTTAGCTCTATTACACTTCTCCGTGCTTCTTTTTCCCTCAAACTGTACGTTTTATGTTTTTCCTTGCTCAGCTTGCTCCTTTTCATCTTCATCGTAGAGTGGCCACTAGGACACAGTCCATACTGGGCTGTCTGGAAATCTCCCTTGCCAAACACCATTAATTCAAAACTCTTCAGTTTAGCCTCAGGCAGATTTTTTTGGACAGGAGCAGAAAGTAGCCACATTCTTTGCCAAAATACCACAAGGCTGGTCTCTAGGACACATACTAGCATTCTTTCCTGCTGAGATCTCCTGAGCCAGGCCATCCTAATCTATGTTGTGCTCAGTACCACTGTGTTTTACACTCCCACTAGGATGGCCCGCTAAGCCCCATAAAGCGGCACATAATCCAGCGTCCCAAAGCCCACGTTCTACCGTCAAGCAGCATGGTCCGGCCTGTCATAGGAATATCCTGCTCCCTGGTACCAACTTCTGGCTTAGTCAGTGTTCTATTGCTGTGAAGAGACGTCGTGACCACAGCAACTCTTATAAAAGAAGGCATTTAATTGGGGGCTGGCTTACAATTTCAGAGGTTTAGCCAGTCAGACATGGTGCAGGAGAAGGACCTTCGAGTTCTGCACCCTGATCCACAGGCAGCAAGAAGAGAGACTCTGGTCTTGGAACAGGCTTTTTGAAACCTCAAAGCCCAGCCCCTTCAGACAGTGCCACTCCTATGAGCCTACGAGGCCATTCTCATTCAAACCACCACTTGTTTTTAAAAGAACCACAGGCATTCACCTCCTCCCATACAGAACATGTGCCTCTAGTGACGATTTCTTCTATAACCACAGTGGTCTCTTGATAGCCAATAAGGTCCCTGTGTGCGTGTGTGGCATGTGTGAGCATGTGGCTGTGGAGAGGAACGTGCAGAGGCCAGAGGACACATGAGGTGTTCTCTCTCTGTCTCTGCCTCTCTCTCCAAATGCTCCCTTGAGAGAGGGGTCTCTTGCTGAATCTGGCACCAGACTGCTGTCCAACACACTCCAGCAATCCTCCTCCTTTCACCTCCCACAGCCCTGGGTTTAGAGGTGTGTGTGTGTGTGTGTGTGTGTGTGTAACTATTACTCAGGTTTTCACATGGGTTCTGAGGTTTAAACTCAGGTGCTTGTGAAGTCAGCATTACCTCCCCACTGGGCTATGTCTCAGCAACAGCAGATAATTTCATGCCTACCCATCAGTACCCCTAAATGAATCTTTTCTATGGCTGATTTATTCCAATTAGGACCCAACAAAAGTAGTCACCTGCTAATTTTGGGTTTTGTTTGTTTGTTTGGTTGGTTGATTGTTGTTGTTTTTTCCTAATTTCTTTCTTTTTTTTTTTTATTTTGGATTTTGATTATTTTTGAGACAAGATTTCTCCATATAGCCCTGGCTGTCCTAGGACTTACTGTGTGCCAGGCTGGGCTGTAGTATTTGCCAAGGGCAAATGGTACCTGGGAGCCTGATTTGTGGTGCCGGGTGGTGAGGCAGCTGAACAGGTGGGTGGAGGAGGGTACAAGGGCCGTGGTGTGAAGTTCTGCCTCCCCCGTCAAGTGGATCAGCAGCCCCGCATGACTCTAAAGTTCCAGCCTGACGACAAACTGAGGAACATGGTGTTGATCGGCGACCTGGTGTCTGTGTTACTGGCTATCCTGTTGTTCTTGGCCATCCTGATTGCGTGAGTCACCCCTAACCCCTATGTCCCCTGAGTTCCTCATATATGGATACCAGCCAGGTGTGGTGGTCCAGTGCTGAGACCCCAGCACTTGGGAGACTTGAGGCAGGAGGATGGCTATAAGTTCAAGGCTAGTCTGAGCTACACAGCAGGATGTTCTCTCAGAAGGTGGGGGGGTGAGATGTGGCTCAGTTGGTAGGGTATTTGCCTACTATGCCCACCATCATGGATTTGATCCCCAGAATTGGATAAATCAGGTATGGTGTCACACACTTGTTATCTCAGCAAGTGGGAGGCGGAGGCAGGAGGGTCAGAAGTTCAAGGTCATCCCTGGCTAAATAGTGAGCTTGAAGCCAACCTGAGCTATGTGAGACCCCCCTCTCAAAAAAGGAGAAATAAAGCAGGAAAAGTGAGACAGGAAGGAAGGAAGAACAAAACTGATCCATAAAAGGGGTCTTTGGTCATCCTCCCCTTCAACCCTATCACTATGTGCTTCAGTCCCCCTCCACTCTTTGCTTTTGTGTCTCCTTCCTTTGCCTTCTTTTTAAAGACATTTTGTTTTTTCAAGATACGGCTTCCCTGTGTAAGCCTGGCTGTCGTAGCGCTCACTTTGCAGACCAGGCTGTCTGCCTCTGCCTCCTGAGTGCGGGATTAACGGTGTGTGCTGCCATCGCCACTGCCACTGCTGCCACCACCACCACCAAGACATTGTTTTTAATTATGTATACATGTGTATGTCTTCATGTGAGTGTGTGCAGGTGAGTGCAGAGCCCACAGAGGCCAGAAGAGGGCATAGGGACTCCCTTGAGCTGGAGCGGAAGTAGTTGTGAGTCACTGTGCAGGCACTTGGGTTTTCTGGAAGAGTGGTAAGCGCGCTGAGCCCCAGCCTTGCTGTCCTCCTCTTTCCATACTTTTCTCTCCCCTCCCTGAATCGCTCATTTTCTTTTTCCCTGACTCTAAGTTACAAAGCTACAGGGGACACCAGGTTTATTCCCTGTCTTTATGTGTCCCTTCTTCCATTTAAAAAAAAAAAAAAAGGAGGAGAGGATGAGGAATAGAAGAGGAAGAAGAGGAGAAGGAGGAGGAGGAAGAGGAGGAAGGCATAATAGCTGAGCATAGTGGTGCACATCTTTGCTCTCAGCACTCAGGAGGCAGAGGCAGGGGGATCTCTGAGAGATGTTAAGGCTAGCCTGGGCTACAATGGTGAGTTCCAGGACAACCAGAGATACATAGTGAAACCCTGTCTGAAAAAAAAAAAAAGTGAATGTGCTGATCAAAACCAAGGTTTGTCCTTAGCTGGCTTGTTATTATATCCTTATTATATATTATATTATTATATCTTTATTATATATAATATATTATTATATGGTATATATTACATCTTCACCAACATTGTCACTGATATATTTATTCGTTAAACTTTTTTGAGACAGAACACTGCGTAAACTTGGTAGGTCTGGAGCTCACTCTATAGACCAGGCTGGCCTCCAAATCACAGAGCTCCACCTGCCTCTGCCTCTCCAGCACTGGGAATAAAAGCAAATGCCACTGTTATTTTTTGAGACAGGATCTCATGTACCCCAGGCTAATCTGAAACTCCTCATTGTAAGGTTATGGGACATATTAAATAAAGATGATTAGGCATACAACAGATCTTCTATATGAAAGTGGTTTATTAGGTGAATATAAAGAGAGAGAGAGAAGGGAGAGCAGGGCATGATGGGGGGAAAGAGAGAGAGAGGAAAAGAGAGAGAAGGGGGTGCCCTAATAGAGAAAGGAGAGAAGGCCAAGAGAGAAGAGGCCAGGAACAAGAGATACCAAGAGAGAAGGGACCAAGAGAGGGACCACATGGCCGGCTGGTCCCTTTAAGGGGCAAAGTAACCACGCCTTCCAGGTGTAGCCATCTGGACATCACAAGTTGCTAGGCAACCCAGAAGCAGGTTTGGTTCCAAAATCCTAACACTCATCTTCTGCCTCAGATTTCTCAGTGCTGGGATGACAAGTATTACCCTGGCATTAATAAGGAAACTTAACAGCTCATGGTACATAGCCAGGGTACATAGGAAGGGTAATGTCTACCTATGACATTACTTAGAGCCATAGAAATTTGTTCTTGGGAGGGCTG